TCAAATAATATAAATAAAATATAAAAAAAGAAAAAAAATTAAAAAATTAAAAAAATTTTTCCAAAAAAATTAAAAAATGAAAATGAAAAAAATGACTATTGAAAATTTTATCATTTAATATTTTATTTATCTATTGACTATTTATTTAATACTTTATATATTATTTATTTCTTAAATGGTTCCGAGCATATCTTTTTTTGAAACTGAATGCGAGGAGTGCGGAGAGCCATGCAATCGATGGTGCAAAGCATGTCAAAGGGAAGAGTTTAAACGAAGGTTCAACAAGTGGACTAGTGGTAACCTAGCTATTGACCAGCTTATTCAACATACTCAGCTCAATGCAAGTGAGTATAAGGGTTATCTCGAATGGATTCCGCCTGAATCAGTGGACATTAATGAGCAATTATCCGAAGGTGCCTTTAGCACCGTTCTTTCGGGAACATGGATGGAAGGTCCTAGATGGAAATGGGATGAAAATGACAATAGTTGGGGTAGAAGTGGTCCATTAAATTGTGCTTTAAAAAGGATAGAGGATTCTAATAATATAAGTCAAGAATATTTAGATAATGTATGAATTGTTTATTAAATATTTTAAAAAATATATATACGTAAATTCTAATACTTTATTTATTATCAATTTTATTTAGATTTTAAAACACCAGCGATTCCTTCAGAGTGATTCAATGGTCGAGTGCTTCGGAATTACTCGTGATCCTGAAACTAGTTGTTATATGTTTGTTATTAGACTTTGTAATGAAAACCTCTATCAATTCCTCAAACGAACTAGGGGACGACTTGATTGGAGAAATAGAATTGATATGCTTTATGAAATTGTTAATGGTCTTAAACAAATCCATGATTATGGGTTTTATCATGGAAACTTACATGGAGGAAATTTGTTAACTGAAATGACAACTAATGGCATTAACATAAGAATTTCTGACACCGGATTGCATGGTCCACCTGATAGAAATTCTTCAACAGTTTATGGTGTTTTACCATTTATTGCTCCTGAGGTTTTGAAAGGAGATAAATATACACAGGCTTCAGATGTTTACAGTTTTGGAATTATTATGTGGGTAATGTCCAGTTGCATACCTCCTTTTAATCAAATCTCTCATGATCATGACCTTGCGGCACTCATATGCGATGGTTTAAGGCCAAAAATTAATGAAAACATTCCAGACATTTATTCGACTTTAATGACAAGATGCTGGCATCAAGATCCGAAACAAAGACCGAAGGTTGCTGAACTTTGCAATACTTTAAGTCAATTTGCATCGGGCATGCGTGATAACACTTCATCTATTTCGCAAGAATTCACCGTCGCATATGCGCACTCCCGCGGTGCATCCAAAGTAGTATATATAAGCCAATTAATTAATTATAAGATCCATTAATTTATCTATTATCTAATAATATGTGGTATGAAGTATATTGTATCAGGTTTAACCTAATTTATTTTAAGTATCTAAGATTTCTTTACATTATGATATTTAAATATATTTATGATCGTAATTTTCTTATTTTTATTTTTTATTTATTTTCTTTTATTTTTTATTTTTTTATTTTATTTTTTATTTTTTTTATTTTTTATATTTTATTTATATTATTTGT